CCCCCCCCCCCAACGCCAGCCCTGGTCCATCCCTCCTCAGAGTACCACGAGGGGGGCTCAGTCTGCACCCCCAGACCATTTCTGCACAGGGCAATGGGGGCGGGGGGCTCCTTTCCACCTCCTTGTATGGAAACTTCCATGCTGCCCAAGGGTAGGACAAGCTACCCCTCTCTGAGCAGGACACCCCTGTCCTTCTGAGATTCAAACCGGCCCCTCTCCCCAGATTCTCCACGGGAAATGTTGAGGGCAGAGATAGGGGGTGTCGGGAGAATCTTTTGCAAATGTGGCGCCTGGCAGGACTGTTTGGCCAACTCGGCGCCCCTCCTGGCCCCACCCACCCAGTTTTCCTCTCAGTCTTGCTGGCACCAAGTCAACACGCCAGGGTGGGCTTCTGGGACGTTGCCCCCCTCCTCATTACCCAGCACCCTGAAGCAACAGGGTCCCGCACGGCACAAACAGCACATTTTCAGCAACCCCCGGGACCCACAGGCCAACCAGGAAGTCGCCTGAGCAGACGGCTCCCACCTCCCCGGCGCAGCCCGACGCCCCTTCCCCCTCCCCCACTCAGCAGCGCGACGGAGAGCGAACGCGACCCCCGCCCCACCTCTGTCCCTGGCGGGCCATTCCCCGCCGAACCCCGCGGGAGGAAGGGCCAGGCGTCCCGCGCGCCCGCGCCCGCCCTCCCGGCCGCGGCCCGCGCTTACCTGGAAGCCGCGAAGCTGCCGCCCACCTTCCTGCTGCTTTAGCGCAAGCCGAACAGCGGGCGAAGGCCCTCCTGCCGGACACTCCTCTGCCAGCGCCGCTCTGGCCGAGTCGCTGGGGCCGAATGTGCGACGGGGCAGAACGGGGGGATGGCTTTTTTTTGGGGGGGGGACTCTTCTGCTTCTTTAGGGAGGACGGGCTGTCTTCGGGCTGGGGCGGGCCAGATGTTGTACTTTCGGGGGGGAAAGGGTATCGGGAAATGAGGTCAGCTGTTGTACCAAGGATAGAGGGGGGCAGAGATAGTCGGAGAGACAGAGTGAACGTGAAAGGGGGGGGCCAGAGAGAGGGCGAGAGGCAGAGAGGACAGCGAGAGGCGGGCAGGCTCGCAGCGGGAGAGAACAGCACGGAGAGAAACAGAAAGCGTATAATTAATCCACTTTGGTAGGCGAAGGCCGAGGGCGGGCTTGAGGGGGGAGGGGGTGGGGGGCAGGGATGGGGGGGGGGCGGCGGGAGGGAGCCCGGGAAAGGTGGCGGTGGGAGAGCGGGGCCGCGCCAGGCGCGGAGAGAGAGCGGGGCGGAGAAGCCAAGGGAAGAGCGCAACGTCGAGGGCCGGGGACGGTGCTGATCAGGGCGGAGAGGAGGCGTCACCCAGGCCGCGGGCGCCCAGCTCGGTATGGGCCGACGGAGCCCTCGGCCGTCGCAAGCCCGGGCCTCTGGAGGGGGGGGGCAGGCGGTGGCGGCGCCGGGGGCCGCTCGGGACGCAGCGCGGAAGGGGGAGCGGCCGGGCTGCGCGCCGGGGGAGGGCTGGGGGGGAGCGCGGGGGATGACAACGCCGGCGGCCTGCAAGCCGGACTGCCTGCGGGGGGGACCGCCTCCTCCGGCGAAGCGGGGACGGGGTGTTGAGGTAGATGGAGGAGGAGGCGGCGGGGAATCCGCAGGCCCGACGGAGCGCGGCCCCGCCGACGGCGCCCGGTACGGGAGTTAGCAGCGAGGCGACGGACGGCGTCGACGCGGGGCCGCCAGCCCGGATGGAGGCGCTGGCGGGCCGAGCGCGGGCGGGCGTGGGCCAGGAGGCGGGGGCGGCCGGAAGGGGGGGGCCGGGGGCCGGCCTGGCCTCACGCAGCTCCGCCGGAGAGCAGGCGAACTGCGGGCGCCAACGCCGGCTCTTATAGCCGCGCCACCCCGCGGCTCGGCGCCCGCTCGGGCCCCGCTGGCCAAGCGCCCGCGCCAATGGGCGCCCGCAGGGCCCTTGCCCCGCCCCGGGACCGCCCCCGCAACTCGAGCCACCGGAGGGAACGCGGGCTGGGGGCCACGGGCCCGGGGGGCGACGGTTGGGGGGGTCGTGGGGTGCGCGGACGCGAAGCCGGGGTGGGGGGGCCGGGAGCCGCAAAAGTTGAACGAAATAGCCAATCCCCGTTCGACAGAATTTGGGGCCTCATCCCTGGTTTCCGGGGTGCTAGGGCACCCTGCATTCGTGCGGAGCGGGCGCGGGACGAGCATCCCCGACCCTAGGTAGTGGGGCTCCCGGTGCCTTCTCAGGGTTCTACGTGGTGGGGCGTCCCATCAGAGTCCTGGCGCAGGTGGCCCAGCTCTGGGTTTGGGGTCCCAGCTGGGAGATGCCAGGAGAGGGGAGAAACCCCAGGCTCGGGTGGGGCGCACAGCCGCCACCTGCCCAAGCAGGCAGAGCGGGCTCTGAAGCACCTCGAGTCGCAGCCGGATCCGGAGCGCCCCCCGGTGCCGCGGTGCCGCGCGGGAGCCCCGAGCAGCCAAGGCGGCTGCAAGGTGCGGGACACGGTGCAGGCCAGTTGGGCCCGGCCAAATCTGGGCCAGGCGTGGAACGTGTCTGCGGAGGCTGCGCCCGTCAGGAGAGAAAAAAGCAGGGCGGGAAAAGTAGCTCAAATCCTACCTGCATGACCGAGCTCACCGGGGTGCGTCTAAGCAGCTCGCCTTTGGGACCCACCCAAAATATCCGGATAATGGTTCCCCCGTCCTCAGTGCGTTGGACTTGCGTAGACTCGGGTTCGGCCCCAGGGGCCACCACGATAATTTGGGGGTCTGGGGAAACCATCTCCTGGAGAGTTTGGACGATGTAAGAAGGCATTGTGATTTTTGCCAAGTCAAAACCATTCACAAGCCCCTGCAGTCCGCCCGCCCCCCGCAGCCCGAGCTGCCCGCGCCTCGCCGAGAGGAAGGGGCCGCGGGCGGCGGAAACCCGCGCGCCAGCTAGCCCCCTTGCTCCGCCATCAATCACTGCGCCCGCGCTCCGCGCGCGCCTCCCCAAGTCCTTGGCCCCGCGGCCTGGAGGCGCCGCGCCGCCCGGATGGGGAGCGCCTCTCCTCCGCATCCCACCGACCCAGCGCCCTGCCCACACCGGTTCGGGGGATCCACGCCGCTTTCCAACAGTTGTGATCTTTCAACAAAAGTGGCGCCAGTTTCGGGGCGCTCAGCCCGAGGGATTGCGGCCGCTGAGCGGGAAGCACGCAGCGGGTTCCCGCGCCTCTCATCAGCCTGGGGCTGCCGCCGTAGACAAGCACCAGGAGGGGCAGCGGGTGCGGGTAGGAGAATGGCTGGGGCCGCAGAGCGGCGGGACCAGCACAGAGGGGAGCTCACCGCGAAGCTGGAGGCTGTGTCCGCGGGTGCACGAGGAGCCGAGGCAGCAGGCGGGCGACCGCTCTGTGGCGAGCAGTGGACTCTGCTGAAGGTGAGCAAGACCCCGGGGGCAGTCCCCAATGTCCGGGGGCAACGCCCAGTCCGTTGGAAGACCCGGGGACAATGCCCAAATTTGGGGGAAACTGGGGGCAATGCCCAGTCGTTTTCCTGGACGCGGGAGAAGCACTGCCCACGTCCTGGAGGTCGCACGGCCGTCCTAAGTGTGTTTGCGGCACACACAGAGAAATTTCCAAAACCCGAAGTTGCTCTGGGGATTCCGTAGGAGCCGAGAAGAGGCCAGAAACCAGTGCCCACTGCTTGAAGGATTGAGGAAGCCTAGGGCGACTGGCGGGGCCGGGAACAATGCCCAAATTTCGGGGATCGGAAATCAGAGCTCTGTCTTATTTGCAGCCCAGAGAATGAGTGTCCTGAAGCAGAGGAACCCAGAGGAGACTCATTAGTGGGGGGAACCATGATTAATGGCTAAATTTGAGACTCAAAAAAAAAAAAAAAAAAAGCGTCCAAGTTTGGGGAGGGAAGGAAATTCCTCCATGCAATGGGGGTCGTAGTGATCCGAGTCTGAAATGGGGGAACTCAGCATTTTAGCAACTAGAAGACCCACGAAATCCCAGATCAATAGAAGGGGGCGAGGTTTTTTGGTTGAATGGAATAACTTTCTCTACATGAAATTTGGGGGAATCTAAGAGGCACATTGCCTAAGATTTTAGGGATGAAAAACAGATGCATTTTGGGGATCTGGGCAAATTCTTAATGGGTCAGAGGAAAAAGCTGGGATTAATGTCCACGTTTTAAGAATGCAGGTCAGTGGCCTGGATACTCACAGCACTATAACCTTCCTAATTACTGCGGCTTTGTGGAAAATCCTCAAAGTTCTTTAACCACCTGGGAAACATTTTCTAAATTTTGGGGAACCCGGGTTGTAAGCAGTATATTTGAAAAATGCAGAGAATCAATGTCATTTTATATTTTAATTTGCAAAATAGACTTTACTTAGTTTATTTTTGTTGAACAAGGTGGGGGAATGCTATATGTTTTCCTTGACCATGTTTGCATTTGGGAGCCCCAGTAAAATAGTCCAAATGTGGGGATCCATGGAAATTACCCAATGGAAACTATCTAAATTCTGATAATTTGGTTACCTGATATCTAAATTTCAGGTAACCAAGTTAGTAGTTAGAAAACTTATACAACACAGACCTCTAAATTCTAGGATTTGTGGGACCAGGGATATTTTCTGGTGTGCTTCGGGGGCCCATGGAATATTGCTTAAACTTAGGGGGACTCAGGGCATGGGGCATAAAGTTTATTAAAATTTAATAAAATCTCAGTTGTTCTGTGAAGGTAAAAAAAAAATCTCAATTTGTTTTAAGTACTTCAATTTGGAGATCTTTGGAAAATAATTTTTCAATCCAATAATTCATGGAAGTTGCTCAGGATCCTTGGACGACTTGGGGGTCAATATCTGATTTGAGGAACAGGGATTAAGAAATTCTAAGTTATAGAGCCTGGAGAGTTGATGTCCAAAACTTGTGATCTGTAGGCAGTGTGCAGTGCGTTTGCTGAAAATATTGCTTAAATGTGGATACTTTTCTGCCGGGAGATCTATACCTTCCTGTAACTCAAGGATAATACTGAGTGTGTTTGGGGGCTGGAGGGCATCACCTAATATTTGAGGGAGCTCAGAATGTGCAAACATGAGGAAAAGGGTCCAGTGTCACCCTGGGATTTGGGATTGGTATTGGAGTTTTAGAAAACCCGATTCTTGTCAGTAAACTAGGAGGACCCAGGGAGTTTTTTTAATATTTAAAATGTTGTGGATGCAGAGAGAAAGCTCAGAATGTTTGGGGAAACGAGGACATTCAAGAAAGCCTGGAAGAACAAGAAATAGGCTCTGCTCAAGGTTGATTTTATACACATTGTGACCACAATAGGTGGGCCTCCACGTATTTGGGATTTGGGAGAGGGTGGAAGACCCTCTTTCACACTTGATCACATCTTAGGTAATCATTCAGCCTGTGTTTTGTTGCCTGGGTCACAGTGGCTACATTGCAAAGAATCTGATTAGTGGCCAGGAAGCTTGTATAGCCTTGGAAATGAAGGTCCCAAATCCTTGTGGCCCATGGTGGTGGTGTGTGGGAGGGTGCTGCTCAATGAGTCTGGGGGATTATTGGTGAAAGCGTTTTTTAATTTTATGGAGTTCGAGGGATTATTGGTGAAAGCGTTATTTAATTTTATGGAGATCAGGAAATCAGAATTAGATTATTCAGAAGGGGCTTTGGGTATGATGCCTAAACTTGGGAGAAGGCATAGGAAACAATGTTCAATCTTTGAGGGGTTTAGGAAAATTGCTCAGAGGGTTGAGTAGACCTGAGATTCCACGTGTGTAAAATTTAGGGGAAAAGGTTGGGGACAAAAGATTGTAGAATTTGGTGGATAGTGTTCCAGACGGTAGTGAATCAGGAATAGGGCTGAAATACAGGGAAGTCAGAACAGTCAATTTAGGAAACCCTAGAATTAATATTTCAAAATTTAGGGACACGGAAACATTCTACTTGTTTTGGGAGAATGCTGTCCACATCCTGGAGGGCCAGGAGATTTTGTCAGCATTACCACAGGACCAAGGGGTTCCAGTTGAAATTTGGGGGATCCGGGTTGCTCTAGGATCTTGGGGCGGGTGTATGTAAAATTGTTAAGAACCTCAGAGAAAACAAATTTTGGGGCTTCAACCACGCAGTGTACCTCTGGGGAAGCCAGCAGGGTCTTTTTTTTTTTTTAATGTTTGGAAATTAAAGTTCAAAAAATTATTGTGAGCTGTGAAAATGCTGAATCTACAGGCCCCGGGGAGCAATGTTTAAATTTGGAGGATCCCAG